CTATCTTCCCCTGTCTCTTCCTCTCTGAAATCAACAAAAATATATTTAAAAAAAGATAAAAGACAGACATGCTCACCCCCAACACCCAACCCCAAATACACAAAAAAACAATGAGATGATGAGACAGGATGGAAGAGACACGAAGGATAGGGCTGAGCAACAAGTAGCGAGTAAGACAGAAATCCTGAATTACAGAAAGTCATGTTACAAATGATACAACATAAGACAGGAGCCTTGACCCAGAAAACGTAGCAAGTGCGAGTCTTTCATAGGAATACAGAATTAAAAAAGCACACAGGATCAGAAGTCATGAGAGAGAGAAAAAACAAAAAAGCCACATGGAGTGGATTTGGGATCCAGGGAGAGATTTTCATGAGGCCCAAACTAATTTGTTTTAGCCCTGGATGGATGGGCCGATGCCCATGTTTAGGACATTTCTGACCACACAGGTCTGCTTTTTTGAAAAGGGGTGTGTCTGATTCTGAAAGGTGGTCTTTGCTGAATAAATGTGGCTGGCAGGGCCAGTCCGGCAGTTGGGATAATATGAGAGAACTAACAACCATGATGACCTTTCTTCTTTCTAAATTTTTCCAGAAACACAGTTTGACTGTTACAGTTATATACTTCTCTTGCAACTCATGCTAGAAACTAGATCATAGTCCTTTTCCTTCCAATCATATATGGAGCGTAATAATTTAGCTTATAATCCCGGGCATGTGCCCTGACAGGGAAGCAAACTAGCAATCTCCTGGTGCATGGGACAACACTCAACCAACAGAGCCACACGGGCCAGGATTAATAATGACCCTTTAAATGAAACCATCACACAGTTCATACTTAGGTGCCACGGCCCTAAGCTTACTTAGTAAACTATGTTAGTTTGCTGAGGAGGTGGGGAAGTGGGAAAGGATTATGGGTAAGCCCGTGGACAGTTTACGTCCTCTCAAACTCTGTACAAATTATGGCGTGGGCTTTTGAAACAGTAGTAGAAACAAACCATTTTTATTAGAATTTATATTTCTAGTATGAAAAATGTAGCCTATGCAATTAATTTTAAATCATTTAAAATGGCCATACAGATGGCCCCAGGTTGTTTTCTACTTTTGTCCTTTGGATTCACCTATATTCTACTGGATCAAGAAAGAGTTGGCAAGTTGAATGTGTATAGTCAGGACCAAGGGAATTAAGACTTTCTAATTACCTAGTGCTTTTCAGGTTATTAAAAATCTTATTTAGCCTTCACTTGAATCATGCGATAAGGCTACTAACATCACCTCTGTGGCCCCTTAACGGATAAACTCAGGTGCAGAAAGAGTCAGCCACTGTCCCCGAATGGCCAGGATAGGAAAAGGGACTAACACAGAAGGAGATCATTTCAAAACCTACGCTGCTTTCTGCCTTCTCTCTTACTTTATTTGGTTCTTCCTTCTGTTCTTCGCCCATGGGTATGTTCTTAGATGAATACCACGGCAAATCTTCTTTCTTTTAAAATTTTTATTTCTTGATTTTAGAGAGAGAAAGGAAGGGAGAAAGAGAGAAACAGCAATTTTTCATTCCACTTATTTGTGCATTCATTGGTTGCTTTCTGTACCTACTCTGACCAGAGATCCAACCTGCAACCTTGACTTCCCGGGATGACACTCTAACCAACTGAGCTACCCGGCCAGGGCTGGCATAGCTTATTTAATGCTCACAAAATCCAGGAGAGGTGCACACTGTAATATATTTCAATTTGTAGACATACACAGATTTAATGATGCTATGTAATTTGCCTAAGGTCAGCCAGCTGGAAGTTGCTGAATCAGATCTCAAACATCAATATAGTTGCCATTAAATTTTGCCCCTAAACTTTCCTAACGTATAGTGTCTCATAAAAAAAGTTGAAGTTCATGGGTAAAGTATTCACATTATAATATTTTATCAAACACACACACGCACGAGAGAATTTAGAAACCAATAGGACATTCCACAGATGAATCACTTTTTTACTTTCAAAATCAATACGATTAACTTGTTATTCTGAAGGGCTGACAAATTATTGGACAAAAGTAGATGAATATATTTATTCCGCAGGATTTATTGGGGACATACTGTTTGCCAGGGCCTTTGCTGAGATAAGCAAGGACTCTGGATGACATAAATATTCACCGTGAAGAAACAAGGTAGAAATATGCCATTGTGGGGTGGCATTCACTATTTAAAATAAATTGGCCTATTTTTATTATTTTATTATATATATATATATATATAATAAAATCATATATATGTATATATATATATTGCAACTATATATATATATTCAGAGAGGAAAGGAGAGGAAGAGATGGAAACATCATTGTTGAGAGAGAATCACTGATTGGCTGTCTCCTACATGCCCCACACTGGGGATCGAGCCCAAAACCTGGGCAGGTGCCCTGACTGGGAAGCAAACCATGACCTCCTGATTCATAGGTTGATGCTCAACTACTGAGCCACGCCGGTTGGGCAATCAGTTTGCCTGTTTTCTAAAAAATAATATCCACTCATCTTCGCAGCAACATTGCTTCCAGATCACCTGCATTTCCCAGGTTTCGCATCACCCCTGGAACAGAACTGACAATAAAACCAGCTTGACATAGGAAGGGTTTCTCTCCTCATGACTCTTAACAGAACACATAGCTGGAAGCTAGTGCAACTTTCCAGACAGCAAGAGAGAGCATCACTATGTAAATCATTATCGCTGACAAGTTAAGCCTGCAGTCAAAAGCAGAATGTATAGCTTGCGTGTTTACCTCAGGCTATTTGTCTCCACGGGGCAACTTTTTGAAAAGAAATCTTTGCAGCAGGTTGATGCTCACACACATCCACACAAACACAAGCACAGTATTTTGCTCCTGTCGCCATGGATTTAACTGAATTCCAAGGTATAAATTATCCTCAAAAATGTCGATATACAACTCTCCATCCTAACCCAGACATTCCAAGCCAACAAGATGAAGTGAAAATTCCATCCAGACCTTATTAAATATTGTTATTTGATAAGGCCTAAGTATTTTCTTTTATAAATTTTCTTTTATTGATTTCAGAGAGGAAGGGAGAAGGAAAGAAAGAGCAATGATGAGAGAGAATCATTGATCAGCTGCCTCCTGCACGCCCCCTACTGGGGATCAAGCCTGCAACCCAGGCATGTGCCCTTGACCAGAATTAAACCTGGGACCGTTCAGTCCATAGGCTGACACTCTATCCATTGAGCAAAACTGGCTAGGGCCTAAGTGTATTCTTTAAGCATAGGATTGGGGCTGGGTGACTAACTGAGTTAATCTTCTCCATGTTGGTGGTCACATCTGCTATCCAACCTAACATTCTCTGTTTAATCCAAGTCATTATTCTAAATTTCAAAACTGGACATTTTTCCCTTGCATGTAATATTTGGGTGTTTCTCCTTCCTTATGTTGATGACTCCAAAATCATTCCCTAATCTCAGTGAACAGCAGTTATCATTACATGACCTTAGGGCAGTCATTTAACCTTCCAGAGTCATTGAAAACATTAAATGAGTTGATAGGAAATAGACTGTGCTTAGAATATTGCATAGTGATCCCATGCAATAGTTAACTATAATAATGGTTATAAAAATAATAATTGTCATTCATCAGCCCCTGGCCCACCCAAAGCCTTCACCACACTGTTGTCTGTGCCCATGGGTTATGCCTATCTCTCTCTATAAAAGGCTAATATGCTAAGTCCCACCGCCTGACTGGTCGCTGTGATGTGCACTGACAACCAGGGGGCCAGGGGGCAGACGCTCAACGCAGGAGCTGCCTAGCTGCAGTGACTTGGCAGTGGTGGTTCTCAGGTGATGCACCCTGAAACCAGAGAGGAGGGAGCCCGATTCCTCGTGGGGCCACACGATTCCACCTTCGGCTGTGGGTTATGTTGTTGCTGGGGTGCTGTCAGCCCCGAATCTGATTTACTACACACTTGCGTTTGCATTCCACACCCTACTTCCTGGCGATCATCCTATCTAGGTCCGTGTTTGTGGGATAATTTCGGATTTTAGAATGACAGCTGCTACAGCTTTAGGAAATACAGTAATCGATTAATATTCTATGACTTCATATTTTCCCAAGTAAAAGCTATTGCAGATAAGCATTCTGAAATGGGCTGGGTTCTGTCTCCCAGGACTGTGCTAATGCTCCTTTAAGAAGGGGAGATGCTAGAGCATGCCTTTGCTCACTTGGCGCCGGTTGCCAGGCATTTTTAGTGCAGCCGTCCTCTGATGGAGGCACAAATTGCCCCCATGTGCCGTATTTGCCTCTCCCCGCGGTGGCAGCAAAGGACTCTGTCGTGCAATTAGAAGGCCTGGTTCTTCCACTCTGGGTTCCACCGCACCCCTGATGCTCTTATTTTTATCTCTGCTTCTGGGGATTGGGTTGGATGATCTGTCAGGTCCCTTCTTGCTCAGATATTCCGAACTAAGAAATAGAGAACGCACTGGTCAACATTTCCACAGGCCTTGCGTTTTGATGAATTTATCTGCAAGGATGGATTAGGTTTATTTTTCTTTGTCTCCAGGCGAAGGAGACATATGTCTTTAAAGCTGCCTGGCCGGCCTATCTTTTCAGCATGATTAAAGAACACAGGAAACTTTTGCGTAGGATTAGGATCAGTCGGAGCCATCTGAAGATTTTCTGAATTCGTTTTGGAGGTTTAGTGGATGAGAGGACCAAGCGTGAATGGATTATATCTACCACGTTGGGCAGGAGAGATGAAAGCTTGTGAGATTGAAAACACTTTTACCTCCTCCTTTCCTTCTTTTTTAAATATATTTTTATTGATTTCAGAGAGGAGAGGGGAAGAGAGAGAGAGATAGAAACATCAATGGTGAGCGAGAATTATTGACTGGCTGCCTCCTGCACACCCCCCACTGGTGATGGAGTCCACAGCCCAGGCATCTGCCCTGACCAGGAATTGAACCATGACCTCCTGGTTCATAGTTTGACGCTCAACCACTGAGCCAGGCCATATTTCTTTTTCACACATCTGTTAATTTTGATTGAACAAGAATGAGAAAACATATTAAATATTGTAGAGACTCTGCCTGCCTAGAAGAAGCTATTCTGTTTCAATTTATCTGAATGATGCCGGAGACATGGATAAGGTAAAAGGAATATCAAAACCCCAGGACAAGCCCATCTTCGTTTGTAAAATTAGATGATCTTTTTTTTAGGGCGGGAGGGGAGTTGTTTTCTATAACCTCTTTAAAAAAGTATTTTGAGCCCTAACCGGTTTGACTCAGTGGATAGAGCATCGGCCTGCGGACCGAGAGGTCCCAGGTTCAATTCCAGTCAAGGGCATGTACCTGGGTTGCAGACACATCCCAGATGTGCAGGAGGCAGCTGATGTATGTTTCTCTCTCATCCAATATTTCTAACCCTCTATCCCTCTCCCTTCTTCTCTGTAAAAAATCAATAAAATATATATATTTTTTAAAAAGTGTGTTGAGTAGTTTTCTTGTGTTTTTTCTTTCCTTCTTTAGTGGAGCTGTGGGCAGGCTCAGTGCTGGGATGTGATGTCACTCATGATCGTCTTTCCCAGGAAGGGCTGGCTGTGTCTTACAGAGCAGAGCCTCTTCTGAGTGTGAACACTAGGCCTCCTGCCCCTTTGAGAAAACTTCACCCACGGGGCCTTGACCAGGAATAGGAGAGCCAGTGTGATTTCACATCAGTAATCACCTTTTGTGAAGCTCGATTCATTTTTTAAAATCTGCCCTTGGACCTGGAGTTAGCCTTCCAACAGATCTGTTTGCTGCAAGTCAAGTAGGACTTCCCTGAGACTGTGGAAGGGAATAGGATGGGACTGTGATATCCTGCTGTTTTTCCCTAAGGATGGTTTCAATGTGCCCAGCAACACTGATCGCAGGAGGAGGGAGAGAGGGGAGGAGGAAGGGAGGGGGGAGGGAGATCTCTGATAACTCCCAAGGTAAAATGTTGAAAGGGCTTGATCACCACCTTGGTCTCTAATGTGCATTGCCTTGGGCGAAATTCTTAGTCTCTCAGAAACTCTATCATGCTCATCTGCAAAATAGATGCCGATATAGCCTCCATCTGCCTGCAAATGTTCTAAGTGCCAAGCAAGTGAAATATGTGAAGCATCTTGTAAACTTCCCCAGTGCTACAGGAGTTCGAAGTCATGTCATTGCCCATCTAAATCGAGGCTTTCCACATTTGCATGAAGTGTTTCTGAGCACGTGGGAGGTTGCGATCACCAGCGCTCCTGAGTCGTTGGGTTTCTGTCGGGAAATGAGTGCAGAAGTTAACGCAGTCTGTAGTACAGACGAGCACACGGAAGTCCTCACCCTCCGCCAGGCAGATGGCTGTGCCTTAATCGATGTGTGGTTCCTTCCCTCCCGCCCCTGCTTACTCAAAGCGACTCAGAGATGCTAACTCTGGCTGGCCGTGGGAAACTGGAAACCTGAACCTGCCAAGTCGGTTTAGGCCGTGCATATGTGATTATAAATGAGTACTGTTAGTGAAGGCATGTTATTGGTGAAGTCTCAGAGGCCAGGCGTCAAATCCTCACTCCGTTTTAGATTACTCAGCTACTGTGCACCTTCACTCCTGACTCAGCTTTCCCTGTCTGTAAAATGGGAATACCTTCCACGTTATCAGGAGGGTAAGAGAAATGGAGCTAAAATAGGTGAATTACTTGCTAAAGGATCTGGCAAATGATAGGTAAATTCATAAGCATAATGCATGGCATTCGTGGTTCGTGACCCTCCTCCTCATCTGTTGTAACAATAGCTAGCAACAACACCCACACAGTGGGACCCTAATGACAACTTCTGTGCTTTGCCAAACTCCATGCTGACCATCAGACTTGTGTCTCCTTATCTTTAAAATGGGAACATTATATAGGGTGTCCCAAAATTCACGCAAGATTTGAATTTTGTGTGAGCATTAACAACAAAAAATAAAAGCCTAATTTTACTCGGTTTATTGAATCAGATTCTAATATCTGTTGCCCTTTGATTTCAATCACTTCAATTTGATAAGCATTACCAAGTTTCAATTATGGCCCAGGAGCAGGGACAATGAAGGCCAGTGAAGACCACGGCTTTGCGTATGTGCCAGCAAAGCCGTGGAGGCCATTTTCCTGATGTCCTATTCCATGCATAACCCTATACTGTATGCTTTATGAATCAATAAAAACTTTACAATTTTTAATTGTAAACCTGTGTTTTCTATCAAAATTACTTCTTGCGTGAATTTTGGGACACCCTATACTACCTACCGGTTAATCTTCTAATGAAAAGGTTGCATGCATGCACCACTCATAGTCAGAGATTTAGCATTCTGAGGTGTAGGATGGGACCCATGCTTGCCTATCTCTGGAGAGCTGGTTTCTATGTGGCATGTGACATTGACTTTTCTCAGGGCACGAGAGGAAGAACACAGGGGCCTGCACTCTGGGTTGTCCCAGAGGCAAAACACATTCCCTGGGACAAATCTCGTAGCATCATTGGGATCCTAAGGTTAACCCAGGCAGCGAAGAAAAGTGTAACCTTCGCCGAATCTCAATGGATTATGGGAAAGCCTCAATTAATGTTTACAGAGTGCTGATTGGTTTGCACAGGAGCACAGAAGAAGGCATAGGAACAAGCCCGTGCTTTCATTCCCTGGGCCCTCATGGCATCCAGTCATTCCCATCCCCTGCAGAATCGGTCCTAGGAGCTGAGGATGGTGGTCTGCACGCGCTGCTGATTAGTAGCGACAGGAACTGGAGCTTGGGCCCCACCAGCCCATCTTTGAACAGGATGTTCCAAGAGGTTGGAATGGGGCCGTTGGCATGGTGTTCTCTCCGGATGCGTCTATGCCCACCCCCCCTCACCCCCGCCCCGGGACGGGAGGCTCTGCCTTCTCTAAGGCAGCAGGTGAATTGGCTGGGGATCTCAGCATCTCCCACCTCTTGGGAATTAGTTCACCATTCCATCAGAGCCGCCACCCAGACTCCAGCAGCAGCCCTTTGCCACCCATCATCCTCCCTGTGTAGAGAAAGCCATTTCAAGCCATCCTGGTATTGATGGATCTGGAAGATTTTGAATCATCTTTGTCTAAAAACAGGAACGCATCAGGGCACACTCTCTTCTTCCTCTCTTCTTCCCCCCTCTTCTTCCCCCACAGATACGCATCTCCTAAACTCTAAGGGACCCCACAGCTGGGCAGCTCATCCCAGCCTCACCCCTGAACCTGACTCCGAGGCCCCCTTTCCTCTCATTTCAGTGAGCCAGAGCAGCCCCGCCAGGCTCTCCTGTTGGTCCTCATCCTAAGCCCTTGTTTCACTGTCCCCAGCTTCAATAAACAGACTCTCAAAATAAATAAAACATAAAAAGATAAAAACAACAATGCATCAATAGCATGTAGCAACCCCGTGGGAAGAGTACGAATGTGTGAAATTATGGATGTCCCTCTCATTTTTCTCCGGTCCGATGTATCTTTCTTCTTGACTTTGGTGTTAGGATTAGTGTCGGCTCCAATTCGCTCCCCAGAGTCTGCAGAAGGGTGCGGCTTCTTGCAGGGCTCCCCTAGCCAAAGGAATTGTCTGTGAGCCCAGATACCGACGGAAGCAAAATTGCTAGAGTGTTTTTAGGAACTCTCTCCAAGTCTTATCTAAACTCTGACCCTTTTATTCTTTTTCTTGCCAAAAAAAGGGCAATTCCTTTTGGAATTTAATTATATTGATGCAGCGATCTCAATGTGAATAATCACTGGCCTCAGCAGCTTTTCTTTGTCGCTACTCAGCCTAAAATTGGGATTTCCTGGATAACATTTCACAATTTTAAAGGGGCTTGAGCCACAGCACTAAACATTGTCAGCAAACGCTCTCCCAGCAGCCTTTCGTTGCATATTTGGATTGACAACAAAATATTTTTTAAATATATTGTATTGATTTTTACAGAGAGGAAGGGAGAGCTAA